ATTTACAGAGGACCAATCTTCAAGCAATGCAGTCTTTTTATTAGCACATCTGTCTCATGCTCGAAGCTTATTCATAGTATTTTGAGCGATGAATATGTTGTTGGCGCTTAACTTGAAAGAGTTCGCAATTGTAGCCATCTCGCGGTCAAATGTCTGCATAACGTATTCAAGGCGACACAGTCGCCCGACATCGTGATATATCAGTTCTCACCTAGATCCGCATGCCCCGAACAGTCGTCTCCGTTTATCCTGTCTGCATCGTTGTGCACGCTGCCTATGTTAGTATGAAAACAGCAAGAGCTGGAGGTTTTCGGCCGCTGTGGCTTGTTAGCTCGAATGAAGTAGACGAACTTCGTGCATTTTTTATGTATGACCTCGCGAGGACATCTCTAGCCATCCCAAAGGACGGGGCGGTGGTTTTTTTTTACGTTTCCCGTTTCTGGTCCTAAGCGTTCCTGTGAACAGGGTTACCTAAAAATCGGGGCATGGACTTACACCATTCCCTCTTCGCTGTGAACAAAAGGTGTGTCGATCAAGTTGGCCACTTTCGTTACCGCATGTCATGAAAAGGCAATATCCGCGATGACACCGTCTGAATCGCAAGTATTATAACTTTATTTGGATTGTAGGGAGAAATAATTGTGCATCATTATATCCCCCTCACAAAGTTAAAATTTGCTTGAAGTGACGGAGTTTCTGTATGGGCATATAACCGCAACTCATTACTTGTTCAGACATTCGCCAGCATCCATACCAACCCACTAGCGGTCACTGAAGCCACTACTTCCAGGCGTTATGCGACTTTAATTATTTCTTTAGAGCACATGACAACACTGCAACTTCAATTTGTATTCAACCGGGATCTCTTGTCCCATTCACCTGTTTTGCCGACCTCTCCCATCCTCCAACCATGCAAAATGTGAATATATCAATGCTGTAAGGGGCATAAATCGCGAATGTTAAAATGTGAAAAAAACCTGACCGCAAGCAGTCTTACTGGGGAGCTAAAAGTGATCGGTGATCGGCGGAGTAG